AAAAAAAAGAAAGATGGGTGAGTTTGATGGAATAGCCATAGAAATTATGCAAAATAAAACAGAAAAACAAATACAAAATATGAGAAGAAAATCAGTGAGCTATGGGAGAACCTCAAGCTGTGTAACATGAAGGTACTTGTAGTCACCAAAGCAGAGGAGAGGACAGAAAAAAAAAAATTGAAGAAATAATGGCTGAAAATTTTCCAAACTTAATTAAAACTATAAACCACGTATCACGAAACTCAGTAAATGCTAAGCACAAAAAAATGAAGACACATAACTAAAGGCACATAATTATCAAATTGCTCAAAACCAATGATAAAGAGAAAATGTCAAAAGTGGCCAGTGGGAGAGGCATTCTATGTATAGAGGTATAAAGATAAGAATAACATGAAATTTCTCATCGAAAACAATACAGGTAAATGGAAATGAAGCAAGACTTTTATGGTATTTAAAAGAATAACAATTTTTCACCCTGAAATTCTACACTTGGAAAAATATCTTTCAGAAAGAAAGGCAAATAAAGATGTCTTCAGGCATACAAGATCTCGGAGATTTATCACCAGCAGAACCCACACTATGAGAAATATTGAAGAATGTCCTGTTGGCAGAAGGAAAAATGATACACAGACTGGGTGTGGTGGCTTATGCCTGTAAATCCCAGCACTTTGGGAGGCTAAGACAGGTAGATCATTTGAGGTCAGGAGTTCAAGACCAGCCTGTCCAACATGTTGAAACCCTGTCTCTACTAAAAATACAAAAATTAGCTGGGCATGGTGGCATACACGTGTAATCCCAGCTACTCCAGAGGCTGAGGCAGAAGAATCGCTTGAACCTTGAGGTGTAGGTTGCAGTGAGACAAGATGGCACCATTGCACTCCAGCCTGGGCAACAGGGAGATTCTCTCTCTCAATTTTTTTTTAAAAAAAGGATACCACAGGAAAATCTGGTATTTAAAGAAATGAAGGCCATAAAAATAGTAGTAATATAAGTAAATATATTGAAAAATTTACTTAGTATCGAAATCTTTTTTTTTTCTTTTTACCAGAAACAATATTATTTAACGATAAAAGAGTCAATTTACCAGGAAGATATGACAATTATAAGAGAGTAATAGAAAACAACATAACAATAGTAGGAGATTTCAATATCCCACTACACACACACACACACACACACACACACTCACACTCACATATACATTAAGTTCTGGGATACATGTGCAGAACGTGCAGGTTTGTTACATAGGTATACTCGTGCAATGGTGGTTTGCTGTGGCCATCAACCCCTCATCTACATTAGGTATTTCTCCTAATGCTATCCCTCGCCTAGACCCCCACCCCATGACAGGCCCCAGTGGGTGATGTTCCCCTCCCGGTGTCCATGTGTTCTCATTGTTCAACTCCCACTTATGAGTGAGAACATGCAGTGTTTGGTTTTCTGTTCCTGTGATAGTTTGCTGGGAATGATGGTTTCCAGCTTCATCCATGTCCCTGCAAAGGACATGAAGTCATCCTTTTTTATGGCTGCATAGTATTCTATGGTGTATATGTGCCACATTTTCTTTATCCAGTCTCTCATTGATGGGCATTTGGGTTGGTTCCAAGTCTTTGCTATTGTGAACAGTGCTGCAATAAACATACGTGTGCATATGTCTTTATAGTAGAATAATTTATAATCCTTTGAGTATATACCTAGTAATGGTATTTCTGGGTCAAATGGTATTTCTGGGAAGATCCTTGAGGAATTGCCACAGTGTCTTCCACAGTGGTTGAACACAACAGTTGAATGAGTGAGTTTACACTCCCAACAGTGTGAAAGCATTCCTATTTCTCCACAGCCTCGAAACATCTGTTGTTTCCTGACTTTTTAATAATCATCATTATAACTGGTGTGAGATGGTATCTCATTGTGGTTTTGATTTGCATTTCTCTAATGACCAGTGATGATGAGCTTTTTTTTTTCATGTGTCTGTTGGTTGCATAAATGTCTTCTTTTGAGAAGTGTCTGTTCATATCCTTTGCCCACTTTTTGTTTGCTTTTTCTTGAAAATTTGTTTAAGGTCCTTGTAGATTCTAGATATTAGACCTTTGTCAGACAGATAGATTGCAAAAATTTTCTCCCATTCTGTAGGTTGCCAAACAGACACTTTTCAAAAGACATACAAGTGGCAAACAAGCATATGAAAAAATGCTCAACATCACTAATCATTAGAGAAATGCAAATCAAAACCACAATGAGATACCATCTCACACCAGTCAAATGGCTACTATTAAAAAATCAAAACAAACAAATAATCAACAACAACAACAACAACAAAAACAGATGCTGGCAAAGTTGTAGGGAAAAGGGAACACTTTCCTGATGGGAATGTAAATTAGTTCAGCCACTGTGGAAAGCAGTTTGGTGATTTCTTGAATAACTTAAAATAGAACTACCATTCAACCCAACAATGCCATTACTGGGTATATACCCAGAGGAATATAAATCACTCTACCATAAAGATACGTGCATGATTATGTTCATTGCAGCACTATTCACAACAGCAAAGGCATGGAATCAACCTAAATGCCCATCAATAGCAGGAAATATGGTATATATACACCATGGAATACTATACAACCATGAAAAAGACCAAGATAATGTCTTTTGTAGCAACATAGATGGAGCTAGTGGCTATTATCCTATCTTAACACAGGAACAGAAAATCAAATACTGTATGTTCTCACTTATACGTTGGAGCTAAATATTGAGTACACAAGGATAGAAATAATAGAACAACAGATACTGTGGCCTATTGAAGAGTTGAGGGTAAGAGAAGGGTGAGTATAAAACAAACTGCCTATCAGGTACTATACTTATTACCTGGGTGATGAAATAATCTGTACACCAAACCCTCGTGACATGCAATTTACCTATATAATAAACCTGCACATATACCCCTGAAACTAAAAGTTACACACACACACACACACACACACACACACACACACACACACAGAATCATCAGTAACTCAAATATTACAGGTAAGAAGTTTTAGGTTGCCACACCTGTTAAAAAAAACTCCAGCAAGCTGAGCTTAAGGCAGAAAATAAGAAATCCATGAAAGGGTAGGGAAAGAACAAGCTATAATTATCAATTTATGTCTGGGGCAGGATTAGGAGCTACAGTAGCTATGTTTTCTGCTAATTATTTGCTTCTTTTGCTCTTCCTCTTTCAACTTTCTTACATGAATAATCATGACAGGAGCTATTCTTTTATGTATCAAGTAGAAATGTGAACTACTTGATATCATGCTGCTATGATAAAGTTCTTAATGGAACTTTATGTGTTCCCTGTATTAGGAATATGAATTAATCACTGAAAGAAGAAGGGGATGCTGAGGGCAAAAGGGGTGTACTTCACCAGTTGACCTTTCCAGATCTACCTTCTATCCTTTTTAGCTTGCTATGTGCTTCAGAATGTTTGATGTCTTTTATGAATTATACCAAAAGGCTCATTGTTCCCTGGCTTCTAATTGGAATACAATAGCAGGGGATCGGAAGGTGGGTGGAAAATGGGCTTGAGAAATATTTCTTCCCATGGCTTCCTTGCCTTCATATAGCCTAAGTCCACAGTTCCTATCTTGTGCCCTTAGTATATCACTACCCTCTCCAGGTTCTAGTTCCCTCCTCTTGGTCATTCAGGCTTAGTATTAGTTACAACTTCTCACTCTTGCCATATGTCATTATTCTTGGAATATTTCACTATTTCTTGCTGGTTTCCACAACTCCTGTATTCATCTTTATGAAGATGTATCCTGATAAATATGATCCTTATGTTTCTAAAAGAGTGTGAGAAGGACAGCAGAGCTCATATATTCTGCTTCATTGTACCCATGCTCTTCATTAACCATGTTAAGCACACATATAGGTACACATGCTAACACACATGTAGCAACTAGCTCATAGTAAGTGATTCAGTAATACCTGTTAATTTATTGATCATTTGATGATGCAGAGAGATTCAGAAGTACCAAAAGATAAAGGACTTGGAGTAAGATCGGAAATAGACAGGTGATAATACACAGCATTATTAAAAAGTTAGATTTTACAAGGCTTATAAAATGTGTGGGTTTATCAGGGGATTTCTTAACCCTTAGGTGTCAAAGGACCAACCAGAAGGAAGTGTATCTCCTTCTGATTGCTGCATGAATTATTGTCCTTCTCCTTCTATGAAAGAAACGCGGGATAAAGGATAGAGGGTGTGTCTATGGATAAGGCCCAAGAATAAGAATCTTACTATTTATTTATTAATTTTTATTTTACAATTGACATGACAATTATACATAGTTTGGGAATACAGTGTGATGTTTCAATGCATGGAAACATTGTATAGTAATCAAATCAGGGTAATTACCATATCCATCACTTTAAGTCTTACCATATTTTAGTTTCACAAAAAAGAGGGCTACCTAGCAAGACTTCTTTAATAATATAATTTTATTTTATCCAATATATCAAAATATTATTTTATTGTCACACCATCCATATAAAATTATTAATGACATGGTTTATATTCTATTTTCATATTGGTGTGAAAATTTGAGATCTAATGTGCATTTTTTTTCTTCTTTTCAACTTTTATTTTAAAGGCGGGGGTATACATGCAGGTTTGTTACAGAAGTATATTGCGTGATGCTGAGATTTGGAGTACAAATGAATCCATTACCCAGGTAGTGAGTGGGTAATAGGTAGTTTTTTTAACGCTTCCCCCTCCCTCCCATAATCTAGTAGTCCCCAGTGTCTATTGTTCCCACCTTTGTCTTCATATGTACCCAACGTTTAGTTCCTACTTATGAGTGAGAACATGAAGTATTTGGTTTTCTGTTTTTGTACTAGTTCACTTAGGATAATGGTTTCAAGCCACATCTATGTTTCTGTGAATGACATGATTTCATTCTATTTCACGACTGCATAGTATTCCAAGGTATATATGTACTTTTGTTTTCAGAGCAGGAGTGAAAGTTTATTAAAAAGCTTTAGAACAGTAAGGAAGGAAAAGGAAAGGAGAAAAAAGAAGGAAAGTATAACTTGGAAGGGGGCCGAGTGGGCGACTTGAGAAACCAAGTGTGCCAATGTACAGTTTAAAAATCCAATCCACCTGGGTTGATTCCATGTCTTCCCAGCAAGTCTTTGAATTAGGAAGCCAAAAGGGTCTCTGAGCTCATTGTCAGTGTGAGATTCCAAGCCTGCATGGGAAATACCTTGTGGTTAATTTCCTCAGAGCTCCCTTCACATCCTTGTTTCTCAGGCTGTAGATGAGGGGATTAAGCATGGGAGTCACCATTGCATAGAAAACAGACACCAATTTTTCCTGCTGTTTGGAAGACTTGGGTGTCATGTAAGTGATAATTGCTGATCCATAAAAAAGTATGACCACCATGAGGTGGGAGCCACAGGTAGAAAACGCCTTGAGACTCCCCACAGTTGACTTCATCTTGACCGCAGTTACTATGATATGGCCATAGGATACCAGAATCAGAAAAATGGGTATGAGGAGAATCACAACCCCCATAAGAAAAATGGCCATCTCCGATGTGTGGGTGTCTGTGGATGCCAAGATCAATAGTGCAGGGGCTTCACAAAAGAAATGAGCAATGTTGTTACTACCTCGGTAGGGTAGCCTCAGTGTGAAGGTGGTGTCTACCACAGAAACCAGAATGCCACTGGTCCATGATCCTGTTGCCAGCTGGACACACACTTTCCAGGTCATGATGCTAGGGTAATGCAGAGGATTGCAGATTGCCACATAGCGATCATAGGACATCACTGCCAGAAGGGCACACCGTGTACACCCAAAAATGAGGAAAAAGAGAAGTTGAGCTGTGCAACATGTGAATGAAATGAACTTCTTCCTGGAAAGCAGGTGCACTAGTGTCTGAGGAACTATGTTGGTAGAGAAACAGAGGTCAGCTAGAGACAAGTTGCAGAGAAAAAAAATACATGGGTGTGTGAAGTCGGGAGTCAACAGGAACAAGGGACATAAGAAGCAGATTTCCAAGCAGAGTGACCAGGTAGACACCCAAGAATAAGATCAATAGCAGCTGCTGGGTGTATGGCCCATCAGAGAGTCCCAGAAGGAGGAATTCTGTCACTTGTGTCTGATTTATCTGTCTCATAGTTTGTTGTCCTTTTCAGTAAGAAGTCACTATGTGCTAACCATAGACATGCATACCTCTAAAATTATATAATTCAGAGGTGAAGGCTTAGGAATTGCCCCAATTGCTACTGAAAATTTCAAGAACCCCCTCCATAAGAGGATCATGTTTCTTTCATTGGAACATTTTCACTGTTGTAAAACAAACTTTAAAAGATGTTGCATTCATTGTTGGTGTCATCTGGCAAGAATAGGGTAGACTTTTAAAATTATTTTTCTTACTCCGAATAACACACTTTTAACAGCACAATATTAAATACAGACTAAATTCATCTATAAAGTCATGCCATTTAATTTCTGTTTGTTCTTAACTAAAACCCCTGAGTCTTAAGTGCTCTTATCACATCTCCTCTTCCCCACTTATGATTATATAGATTTCTGTTGTATTTTACCTGAAAGGACAGACACGAGGGTATAAGAAATCAGAAAGAGCCAAAGTCCTGGTATGTTTTATTTAAGAAACTAACCTGCTTTGTAGGAGCTGGGAAACCAAAGGGTAACTCAGGTTACCCTTGGGAATCCTATCTGAAGCCTCAGCTTGAGTTCTGTTCAGTCTCAACTGTGAATGAACTTCCAATATAACAAACACACCATCAAAACAGAATTTTCATTTTAAGCCACCAGCGTAGCTAGTTTCATACTCGGCCCAAACAGCACTACTCCCCAGCTCTCTCTGCTAAAAATTATATGCATTATCTGTCCACTACCCCCCAAAATTAAAATTTCCTTTTAAAACAGTTTCCATGTCTTTTCACCTCTGTGCCTTTTATAAGACATAGCAAAGAACTTCATTCCATAAATGACCATTAATTCATTAAATAGATAGTAATTTGATCACATAGTTAAGCAGAGCTGTTTAGAAGGTTTGCCAATATCCCTAGAGAGATTTAAAATAATTTGGAAATAATAATACAATTTTGTGGAGCTGTTCCAAAAAAAAGGGAAATAAATTTACTTTAAAGTATAAAGTTTAAGATCCTATGTACGGGTTGGGCTATCAATCCTTTAACCGTCTGGTGAAAGTATCTCAGAATAATGTTTTAAATGCATCACATAAAATGTATAGGATTACCAAGGAAACCAGTTATATCAAAATATAGTTATCGAAATAATTTTAGAAAACAGATTTGTAAACAGCAATATATGTGCTTCTTTATTAATACACTAAAGTTCTGAAATGTAGTGGTGGGTCTAACAACCATCTTCATTTCAAAATAATGATGAGCTTAAATATTTGGAGATCTCTTTAACAACTGCAATACAATATAAAAATTATTATAATTACTACTGCTGACAAAGTCATGGATACTTCCAATATTGGTGTGGGTTGGTTACTTGCATTCAAATTGGAAGGAAACATCAACTTTCAGTTAGGGGAAAATAAAAATAAAAAAGTAACATTTTACTCCAAGTTGAAGAACTCCCTTGGGTTACAGGAATCCCCAGGAGTTTTCTTTAAAAAAAAAAAAAAAAAAAAAAAAGACATAATTACACCCTACATAATCTCGTAACAGAGTCTCAGCATCTGGATTGGTCTGTGAGTCAAAGAAATGAAAGATTTCAATTCATAATTGGTCTTCAGACTAAAGTTGGAATTTGGCATTGGGAGGAAGGTCCCTTTGTACTTCCACTTAACTGTTTGGTGCTTTAGGTTTTTAGCATTGCTCCTTGCTCACTTTGTAGGCAGAAGGCCTTAAGCAAACAGTTTAGTCCAACATGTATCACCTATATGATAAAATCCAATTTATAACCCTTCCACCTTTACCTACTACTGGTTAGCCATGGACTCTACACTACTTTCCTCACTTCTTGGGATTTCTCCTACAACATCTTTTCTCCAGACAGGAATTTAGTTGTCCTGGGCCAAAGTTACCACTAACAACCAATCTGGGAAATCTGTGGCCTAATGTCGCTTCTCTTCTCCACTTTTATTTTAACACCAGAGGAAGAATCCTGAAAACAATTTCACCTTACTGTTTTACTTTACAATGTACTGATTAGTTAATTATTTAAAAGATTCCTTTTTTAACTCAAAATATACATTTTCTTTATTCTTTATGTTATTCTCCTCTTTTACACATCTAGGAAAATCTGTCAAAACAAAAACAGTCTCATATCTAATCATATAAACGTAATGGTTACACAATATTACTGTTATATCAGGTAGATGGAGGTGTGGATGTTGATTCAATTGTAAAATAAAAACCAGTACCACCAAACTCTAAAATCTTTGAAAGGATAAAAGCCTCTTACCTAATCCCTAAGAGGAACTCAATATTCCTTCTCAGTTTTGAAGATAAGTCACTTAATTTTAACATTTTGTTTGTTTAATTGTATTTTAAATATACACCAAATATACATTTTTCAGAACAAAAGAAAAAAATTGATAAATTGGACATCATCAAAATGAAAAATGTTTGTGTTTCAAAAGACATCATTAAGGGTAGTGAAAAGACAACCCACAGAATGGTAGAAAAATTTTGCAAATTATATATCTGATAAGGGACTTATATTTAGAATATATAAGAAACATAACTTGGTAATAAAAAGGCCAATAATATAATTAATAACTGGGCAAAGAATCTAAATAGACATTGTTTCCAGAGGAGGTATGCAAATGGCCAGTAGGCACATGAAAATATGCTGAATGTCATTAGCCATAAAGGAAATGCAAACCCAAACCACAATAGCATACAACTTTTCACCTACTAGGATGGCTAGCAGGTTACCATATGAATCAACCATCCCACCAGTAGGTATATACCCAAGAGAACTGAAAGCATATGTTGCACACAAAAACTTATACATTAATGTTTATGGCAACATTATTCATATAGTCAGAAAGTACAGTGATCCAAAGACAAAAAGTGAAATGTCTTTGAATGTATAAAGAAAAGGTGATATATCAGCTGGGCGTGGTGGCTCATGCCTGTAATCCCAGTACATTGACAGACTGAGGCAGGTGGATCACTTAAGGTCAGGAGTTCGAGGCCAGCCTGGTCAATATGGTGAAACCCTGTCTCTACTAAAAATACAAAAATTAGCTGGGCATCATGGCGCATGCCTGTAGTCCCAACTAGTTGGGAGGCTGAGACGGGAGAATCGTTTGAACAGGGTAGGCAGAGGTTGTAGTAAGCTGAGATCACACCACTGCACTTCAGCCTGTATGACAGAGAGAGACCCCATCTCAAAAAGAATAAAGGTGATATATCCATATAAAGGATTGAGCATGGTACAACATGAATAAACCTTTAAAATGTTATGGTAAGTGGAAAAAGTAGTCACAAAGGATGACATATTGCATGATTCCATTTATATTAAATGTCAAGAACAGGCAAATCTACAGAGAAAGAAAGTAGATTGGTTGTTGCCTAGGGCTGGGGGTATAGGAGGACTGGATGATGGTGACTAAGGAATGCATGATTTCTTTTTGGAGTGATGAAAAAGTTCTAAAATTGACTGTGGTGATGGTTGCACAACTTTGTGAATATTCTAAAAGCCATTGAATTATACACTTTAAATGGTAAGTTGTGTGGTATGTCCAACACGCATCACCCAAATGTATGGTAATAGTAAATCTCTTTCCAAACACCCTCAAGCCCGCTACCCTTTCCATTAGTAACCATAGATCACAAGTTGTATACATCTTTCCAGATGTCTATTAATTCAAATATGCATGTGTGTATGTACATGAGTATGTACACTTTTGTAATTAACATATGATTTAGTGACTTAATTGTCCCAACAATCGCTATTATCTTGGAGACACTTCTTGACTGATATATATAGCTATACCTATGTCTTGCTTTATATTCCACACTATAGTTAATTGATTATAGTTGATTGCATTATATTCCACACTATAGTTAGACCAAAACTTAGTTTAACTATTCTCTTATTGATGAACAATAATATTGGGGCCAATTTATGCTACCACAAACAATTATGTTATGAACATTCCTATACATATATTATTTTTCACTGCTACCAATATATCTGTAAGGTAAACAACCAACATTCAAATTGCCAGATACGAGCTTTATCCAAGACAGAAGATATAAGCGTAGGCATATCTTTACTTTTGATAGATGCTGCCAATATCTAAAAACTGTAGTGCCTAGCAGTTATAGAAGTGCCTATCTTTATTTCAAGGGAAATCAACTCATTCAATAACTGATAAATAAAACATAATTATGAACAATTACATTTCTGCTTGATGATTACTTATGACCCCACACTGAATATAGATGAATTCCACCCTCCCTTATCTATCTGCAGGCAATCTTTCCAGTCTTATCCCATACCAACTAACTTGCAAACACTGCATTTTTACACTCCACAGTTTTTTGCTCAGCATGGTCCCTCTACTCAGAGACATGCCCACTAAATCAAGGTATCATTACTTTCCTTGGTCACTCATCATACTTTGAATATTCAATCAATCTTATTTTTTGAGTACATACTGTATACCAAGCATATGCTAAAGACTGGGGATACAGACTGAAAACCCAGTTCCTAACACTAAAGAATTCCGGTGGGGGGGGGCAAATTGTTTCATCCCCAGTGCCTAGAGTGGTTCTTGGAATATCATAGATTCAGTCAATATTGGTTTAAGTAATCTATATAATCTATCACATCAAATTAATAAAGAATTGCTTCTAAAGAGAAAAATAATGTATTATCAAAACAGCTGCTATAAAAATAAATTTTAAGAATATAAGTAATTTAAACATTGCTACCTTTTTGAATTTCCATCCATCTGATGGCAGGTACTACCTGGTTAGTTCTTAGAGACTCCAGGATTTAGTTCAGCTCAGGATCTTTAGACTCAGTCCTCTTTCTGCCACAATTTTCACTCTTAGAGTAGAATTTTATTTTTTTAGAAATTGATTACAACTGTATCAATAATGTGTCTAAATCTCAAGGAAAATTAAATGATAGACAAATAATCTTTCTCAATTTTGACAAAAGAAGATATTGAGCATAAAACTAAGCATCTTTCACAAAATTTAAAGTGACGACTACAGTCAGTGGTTAATTTAATGAAAGTGAAGCTACAGGATATCGCTATGATTTCTATCCCTTCTTCATCTGGCTTCTAACCATAACCAGATGAATTTTTTAAGATTCTGCCTAGGAACAATATACTCCAGAAACAATTCCACAAACTTTCCCTATTCCTACCCCCAATACACATGGACATAAACACACCTATACACACACTCATAAACAACTAGTCTATCTTAGATGCACAAGTATACCTATAGCATCTTGTACTTACCTCCTTCACAGCTCTTAACAAATTATATTAAAATTATTTGTCTTTTTCTGTGACTGTAAGATAGTCAAGGGCAGAGATCACATCTGAATCAGCTTTATTCACCGAAAATAAGAGCAGTCATGGTATAAGTGTCCAACACGTTTCTTGAACTGATTTGACCTAAGTCAAAGTAGCAAGAGAGACAGAGAGGGGAATGTAAGGAAGAGATGAGTGTGATTTATGACTTGTCAGATGCTAGGAGTTTTCACTGACCCTGGGATTATGCACTAGAAGGCAGTACCTCAATCTCTTCTGATTTTTCTTTAAAAATGTTATTCTTCCATGCAAATGTAGAGGACAAAATGTTCCTCCAGGTGACATTGAATCCCAGGTTCAAGAAACTCCTATAAGAAAATCATGTTCACGTCAACCTTTCTGTCATTTCATTTTACCTTTTTTCTAGATTTAACATAAATGTGTGAGTTCATTTCTATAAAAATAAAATATGCCACTGGATATGGAAAAGGAAGACAGGGTCACAGAAAAATGCATTATCTAACCTGATGTGAATTTTAGGAAGAGGAGACTGAGTGAACCCCTAAGGAACCAAGAGAAAACTACTAAATTTCCCTTCTGATTCCAAGATCCTTCATACTTAAATCCTCTATTCCTCATCATTCATACCTATTTACTTTCTTCCAAATCAAGTTCAACAAGGCATGAGCACACTACCCAAAGGAACAATACTGACTCCATGAAAGTTCTGCTTTTATCTGCATGAGGTGAGCGTTAGGATTCTTCTTCTCGGGTAATTTCACATTGTAATTGTGGTTTGATAAGGTAGACCCACTATGGAATAAAACCTTGTTAAATCTATTACGGGAGATTTCGCTCTATGAATCAGATTATTTGGATTAAACTAGTTGAATTTTAAAAACCATATCTATGACAATGTTAAAACCAATTCACTCCCAATATATCTCCGGTTATCCCTTCTTTGTTCATCTCATGCCTTATCTTCTCCTCCTTCTAATAGTCTTACCAATATTTTGTCATATGATGGAGAAAAAAAGATCAGATTGGCATACGAAAGCCAATAAAGACACTCCACTAGTGATGGGAAAGTGCTTCAGGTGCACTGGTGGCAGCATGGGCATAGCACAGACAGCAGGGATTTTTTTTCATAAAGGCAAAGGGCTCAGTGGAATCTCCAAAGTTAAGAACAAGGCAGGAAGAATCCCCACATCTCCCATGTCCTTCTGCTCCATCAAAGGTTTTAACATGGACTTCATGGTATATTGTGCAACAATAGTTTAATCTAAATGAGATGAACAGCAGGGATACTAGAAGCAGTCTCTGGAGCAAGTGAAGTGCTCAGGAGAATTCTGAATCATTAGGGGGAATCTTGAGCTGTACTTCCTCTCAGAAGGTTCCCAGATGGTTAGAAGGAAGGCAGAAAATAACATGCAGTTAGCAGTCACATCTCTGTTAACAGGTCCCATCATGAATTCTTACATGTTTTCTCTTTGGGGAAGCATTGTATTGTTGCAATTAAGTATTTGGTTTCTGGAGGAAAAAATACTAGGTTGCAACTTAAGTCTACTTCATACACCTATAATTTTGAGAAAGTTCATCATTTGTAGAGTATGAATGTGACGTGACTTAGATAATGATAATTAGATGAATGTGATTAACATAATGTATTCATGTAATAAGAGCTCAATAAATACTATCTCTAACTATTATAACCAGGGCTAGGGGATGGAGATTATAAATAGGTATCTGAGTTTTGGCAGATATCATATTTTGACATTGTTCAGGAAATCTATTGTACATAAATGAATCCTAAACTGCCCAGAAAGATGAGAGGCTGAAAAACCTTCAAGTACTCTGATTAGCTTTTTAAAATTCCTCCAAAGAGTACTTGAAGCTGGGTTGGGCATGAGTGGAGGCAGTGGAGATCAGGGTCTGAAAAGAAGAGAGCCTCTGGCAGAAACCCCACTCTTTCAGCTGCAGCTCCTGAGTGACTAACCTAAGACAAAATGCCAACTGAACA